TCGGGAAAGTTGGGAAAGTTTGCATTTTCATGACTACCAAGATTTGATTTGACTATGATTCAAAGGTTTAAAAAAAAAGGTAAAAAGATTTTCATTTAACTATAGTTTAAAAACATGCAAGTAAATAGTCAGTAATAGAGATCAACAAAGAAACACAAGCAATAAACAAAAAGTGCTTTAGGTATCTAAAAGCTTCCAGAAAAGTGCAGTGAGTGATTTTTCTTTTCCTCTGAATTATTGCTGTTTGATTACAGCGGGTCTAATAGACTGTCTACCAGATGTTTTGTCCCCTCTGTTGTAAGATTACAGTGTTTACATCAATTTTGCAGAATACAAGCATTCTGATATCCATGAGCATTTCACTGCTCGCACGTCATGCACAGCTGCATGCCTTAAGAGCACTTCAGAGAGAGCGTGCACACACACACACACACACACAAAAGGCTCAAACAATTATCTGTCACTTTATGGGTTTCATGTTACATCCATTGAATAGATTAGGCCAGGGGTCATGAATTGCTAGTATGGCTTCCTGCGACGGAGTAATGCACATGTTGAAAGCTATAGAGGGCATGTTAATGTTTTACTCAAACATCTAGTTGTTCACAGACATGACATCAACCATATTTATGACCATCAGTGGGATAAAGTAATGCTGATGAATACAAACACACACACACACACACACACAGATGTCGATCATAGGATTTGATCCATACCAAGTCCTTGAAAAGACTTCTCCAGATCTCAAGCTAACACAGACATTCACAGCAGGGTTCGGATCCAGAAAATGATTCATAAGAGGGACTACGATGGGTGGCAACACCAAAGCAAACATCTGTGCAGAGTTCTTGTGGATTTATGGTCTGACATACACACTTTTGCATTTCCTCAGAGGGAGCACAAAGTCATCATCTCAGGGTTGAAAAATAATTACAAATCAGTGACATGGTTAGTATTGATTCAGAAATGTGGGAACATTTCTAGACATATACTCACCAATCTGCCAGAACTCCCAACACCAAGTATCCAAAGATGGAGCCCACCAACAAAGAGAATTTGGCAATGTGAACCATCCAGGCAGAGTCACCCACTAGGTTCCACTGTCGGGACAGAAAGACAGAAGCCTTATTATTAATATGACATAATTCAACTTTTTCTGTCACCATATGAGATAACAGAGTTATTCTTAATTTGTTATATTAATATTTTTTGTTCATTTCTTGTTGTGATGTTTTTATGGAACAGCTGAACCTTTAGACAAAATAATGGACAGATCTGCCTTTTTTTTTTATTTATTTTTTTTAATGTGTTATACTGAGAATATGGATCTCACATTCGAGGAGGAAAAACAAACAACTCACTTTTATTCAGACCTTTTTATTCAAAATCTGATAGCTTGTAAATTATGTAAATTAATGAGCTTTTATAACAGAATACATATATATATATATATAAGTATCAATCGTCACTTTATCCTAATATTATGTCTTAGTAAGATGATATTTCAATGCTTAGTTTGATCAAAGCTCAGTAGTTTCAAAACATATAATCCAATGCAATAAAGTGTGTGACTGAGAGATGAATAAATAATCGTTCCTCAAAAGCCTGCACTCTAAAAAATGCTGGGTTAAATATAACCCAGCGCTGGGTTAAAAAAGGGACAAACCCAGCTATTGGGTTGTTTTGACCCAGCGGTTGGGTTGTTTTGACCCAGCGGTTGGGTTGTTTTGACCCAGCTATTGGGTTGTTTTGACCCAGCGGTTGGGTTGTTTTGACCCAAAACAACCCAATAGCTGGGTTTGTCCCTTTTTAACCCAGCGCTGGGTTATATTTAACCCAGCATTTTTTAGAGTGTGATCCAGTGTGGTCATATTTAAGACATTTGAACATGATATTTCTAAAAATGACTTATAACCAGGTAAAGTTTGTTTAGTCCAGTAAGTGTTCACATAAATGCTCATAAATCATGCTTCCCGTTTTTTATCTGAAAACCACTGGCTATCAAAACTCTATAGTTCAAACTCTGTAAAATCCGCACTTTTTGCACTTTAAATGTGCTATCAGAGCACAAACACAAAAAAATCTATTATGCAATCTATTATGCTGAACAAACACTTTCAGGGCAGGACATTCTAAGATATAAAACAGATAGGCGCAATGAATTATACATCACATTTTCTAAAGGAACATAATAGAATCTACTAGTTGTATTGTGTTATAATGTATTCTAATCAGGGTTTCTGAATGAGCACTTGGGTTTACTGGGTTTCCCCTGAAACTAGCCCAGGATCTGTTTCCTCTATTGTGTGATGATTGAGCCGCACCCGTCACATGCTTCAGTATCACTCATGCTTTCAGATCAATGTCAGCTGCCAACCTTACCCACAAACATTAACTAGTCACACACAAACAGCTAATCAGCAGTTTTCACCGTTATTTAATCAGGCAAGACAATCAAGAATAAGCTTCTTTAACAACATTAGGACAAAAACCTAAACTGGCAAACACAAGGCTTGCATGAGTATATTTCAGCGTACTGAAAAACTACTATTAAAACATTCACAAAGTTTCAAATATAAGACTTAGGACCTTTTTTTTAAGACAAATAAAATGCATACTGTATGTCCAGAACTCAGATTCTTGTTTAATTCAACAGGCTGCAGCACATATTCAACAACTAAAACTGGACTTAAATTAGCACTTAATATTTGGTTTAATACTGGTTAAGCAAGTTTAAAATACTAAAGACATGTTTTATTCAATACATGCTTGTGCATGGTCTAATACATCAATATACACAAATTAGAGAGGTCAACCAACACTGGATTTTGCTCATATGATAATAATGTTTAAGGAAAAGCAATAACTAGATTATTGTGCCGATAATCACAAAATCTATATATTGACAGGGTGACCCAGAGAACAGTTTATGTTGAAATAAATGGCAGATATAGTTTATTGTGTAAACAGGAAAGAAAGACAGACAGACAGACAGACAGACAGACAGACAAAGAAAGAAAGACAGACAGACAGAAAGTCAGACAAAGAAAGAAAGAAAGAAAGAAAGAAAGACAGACAGACAGAAAGTCAGACAAAGAAAGAAAGAAAGACAGACAGAAATAAAGTCAGACAGACAGACAGTCAGACAGACAGACAGAAAGACAGAAAGACAGAAAGTCAGACAGACAAAGAAAGAAAGAAAGAAAGACAGACAGAAAGTCAGACAAAGAAAGAAAGAAAGAAAGACAGACAGACAGACAGACAGAAAGTCAGACAGACAGACAGAAAGTCAGACAGACAGACAGAAAGTCAGACAGACAGACAGAAAGTCAGACAGACAGACAGAAAGTCAGACAGACAGACAGAAAGTCAGACAGACAGACAGAAAGTCAGACAGACAGACAGAAAGTCAGACAGACAGACAGAAAGTCAGACAGACAGACAGAAAGTCAGACAGACAGACAGAAAGTCAGACAGACAGACAGAAAGTCAGACAGACAGACAGAAAGTCAGACAGACAGACAGAAAGTCAGACAGACAGACAGAAAGTCAGACAGACAGACAGAAAGTCAGACAGACAGACAGAAAGTCAGACAGACAGACAGAAAGTCAGACAGACAGACAGAAAGTCAGACAGACAGACAGACAGACAGACAGACAGGAAGAAAGAAAGTCAGACAGACAGACAGACAGAAAGTCAGACAGACAGAAAGTCAGACAAAGAAAGAAAGAAAGAAAGAAAAAAGAAAGGTTTTATGCGTAATGGGGGACATTCAATTATAAACAAGCCAGAAATGAATGAATGAATGAAGACAGCATTTTCAGTTTTGGGTGAACGGTCCCATTAAGGCTTATGACAATTTGATAAAACTGATTTTAAGACTTTTTAAGGATCCTTTTTCAACCTCGGATTTCATTCATATGTTAATTCTTATGTGCACTTGGTGTTTATTAAGGAATAAGGAAACCACACAGAGTTTTTTCCAACTCTATTTTGTATCCTATTAGTGGAAAGTCCTGATTATGGTTTTACAGTAGTAAATATACATAACCGCACTCACTGTGATATTTTGGTGTAAACTACATGTCATGGTAAAGTAAAGGGAAGTAATAAGGACTGATTTACATTGCAAAATAAACATCACATTACAAAACAGGCTACCTCTTCAAACTAATGTGAATGTGAGAACTAGCGGCAGAGAGAGACATGCGTTCCTAAATGATTATTACTGTGACCTTAAACACAGTGAGTCTGAGAACGACGAGTTGATTTCCCATGAGATGACCTTATAATATTATACAGTAATGTATGTATATGAAGGTAAGCATGCTTTGAGTGTTTCTTACACACAGCTATGTGAATGAGGAGAGGGAAGGCATGCAGAAGAGAATCAGCGCCAGTGAGAAAATTAAAGGCAGAGAGACCGAGATTGCCGCATAGTTTCTGCCTAGCAACAGACCGGCAGAGTGAGACACACACAGCCCTCGCTCCAACAGTATTTATTACTTTATAGTTCAAAGGAAAGAACAAAATGAAAGCGGGAATGAAAGCAGAGGAAGTGAGACAGACACACACACGTGATAGAGAGCATGTGCATATGTGTCATGTAAGTGAGCGACTCGCGACTACATTATAAGAGTGAGATCAGGACGCAGAGACCAAAATTCAGCATTCTGAACTGTAGAAATGGTCACTTCTACCTGTGGTCATTTCCCATTTTTGCTAGCAGCTAATATTTAACACATTTTGTCAGCACAAAACCATTTCAAACACGAGCAAATGTTTCTGCCAATGTTTGCAATCCGATGTGGATTGATTCTGATCACGTATGAAGCAGAAATATATACTGTAATTTGTGATGCTAAAGGCTATGCATACTAATTAATTATAAATTATAACAATTAATTATATTATTATAATTATAATAAATTAATATAAATCTTATAAAAAATAGACTACCTTGAAGACCACACACAAATCACATATTATGTATATTTTAGATTGAACGATAGCATTATTATTATTATTTTAAAACCGTTCCTGATTATTTGTTTATATGTCCAATAACTGATATGCGGAACTTCTCACAATCATGAATTTTATGCTGATGATTAATTGTTATACATATAATTGCTATAAATTATTTAATTGTGCACTGTATTTTGTTTGACACTTACATTGTAAGCCTATCACATTATTATATTGTATTTTTATATTTTACTTTTAATGCTGTAAAAATAGAAAGAAAGAAAGAAAGAAAGAAAGAAAGAAAGAAAGAAAGAAAGAAAGAAAGAAAGAAAGAAAGAAAGAAAGAAAGAAAGAAAGAAAGAAAGAAAGAAAGAAAGAAAGAAAGAAAGAAAGAAAGAAAGAAAGAAAGAAAGAAAGAAAGAAAGAAAGAAAGAAAGAAAGAAAGAAAGAAAGAAAGAAAGAAAGAAAGAAAGAAAGAAAGAAAGAAAGAAAGAAAGAAAGAAAGAAAGAAAGAAAGAAAGAAAGAAAGAAAGAAAGAAAGAAAGAAAGAAAGAAAGAAAGAAAGAAAGAAAGAAAGAAAGAAAGAAAGAAAGACAGACAGACAGAAAGAAAGTCAGACAGACAGACAGACAGAAAGTCAGACAGACAGAAAGTCAGACAAAGAAAGAAAGAAAGAAAGAAAAAAGAAAGGTTTTATGCGTAATGGGGGACATTCAATTATAAACAAGCCAGAAATGAATGAATGAAGACAGCATTTTCAGTTTTGGGTGAACGGTCCCATTAAGGCTTATGACAATTTGATAAAACTGATTTTAAGACTTTTTAAGGATCCTTTTTCAACCTCGGATTTCATTCATATGTTAATTCTTATGTGCACTTGGTGTTTATTAAGGAATAAGGAAACCACACAGAGTTTTTTCCAACTCTATTTTGTATCCTATTAGTGGAAAGTCCTGATTATGGTTTTACAATAGTAAATATACATAACCGCACTCACTGTGATATTTTGGTGTAAACTACCTGTCATGGTAAAGTAAAGGGAAGTAATAAGGACTGATTTACATTGCAAAATAAACATCACATTACAAAACAGGCTACCTCTTCAAACTAATGTGAATGTGAGAACTAGCG